GTCTGTGTGTGTCTGTGTGCGTCTGTGTGTGTCTGTGTGCGTCTGTCCCGCCCCTTCTTGATTTTGATTTGTCATTGTCACAGAGGCGCCACTGTTTCAAAAGTTCAACAGATTTTTAGGTAAAAGGGATTTTAGTGCAGCAGAAAATAAAAACACTCAACTTCAGACGATTCGCACAAACGTGCTGAAAAAAGTTCCCTTTGACTCAAAGCCTGAAGTTTCAGACACACGTTTCAGTCCAGTGTGAACTGGAGCATCAGACGTTCTGCAAAATCACTTTGTTTATTTTACTGTAGGTGCAAAAACTACATTTGTAGATTATTACAGTCATAAACACGTGTAAGCACAGAAACGTTTAATAGTTTATATTTGACTGAAATTTGAATGCGAATTACTGTGATTGTGGAAGAGTGTTGTGCTGTTCTCTGGAAGAATATAAGCACAGTCTTTCTAACAATTATTAAAGCGTAGACACCTAAATAAAAACAGTTAGCCCTTTTGGATCGTTGTGATCCTGTTTTTATTTATTTTAACATTTTAACCTCTGAGGGAGCTGAAAAGTATGATGTGTGTGTGGAGCCCAGAAACATGACTGACGCTTGTTCGGCTGCATAAAGTGTCCTTGTTCAGTTTTACACTGGCAGAGAAACGACGCCCTTCCTGACTCTTCTGTCTCCTTGAAAAAATATTTCACATTTTTCTAGTTAAAAACATTTTTTTATTTGTCCTCTGAACTTGTTTTTGGTCAAATAAATACAGCCATGCTACAGCGATGTCCGCTCGTGGTCATCTGACCCACACACTCACACATTGCTGGCCCATGTTGAAGACAGGGATTGTGTCAGAGCAGCAGCTAACCTGTGTTTTGTTTCTCTTGCTAAGTAGATGACCTCACTTTTTTTCTACACACTATTGTTACTGAACAGAGCTGCTGTGCCTGTTGTGTGGCTGCTTTGTGCTCCGTATTGTTTGTTAATGAGAGAAGAGAATGTTCACCTGCTCACCTGACTAACACACACACACACACATCGGTAACCACTGGTAATCTTCTCAGAAAGGTGAGCACACGTGAACACAGGTGCGTGCATATGTATGTGAGCAATGGTGTGGACATCCATCACAGAAAGTCAGTGTGTCAGCAGGTGGATGATGAAGATCATCGCTGTGTGTTTATGTCACATTTAGACGCCATTGCTTCCTTTAGCTACCCTGCACACATTTCCACATTGAGGCAAATTTGGGATTTAACCAACACAACTATTTAAACTTTTCTTCTTTTGCACATCAACAAAACAAAGACAGAATCTTCATTTCCTCAGGGTGGATTGTTTTTAGGCAAACGGAGGAAAAGACAGCTAATAGAGTCATAAATACATTATAGAGATTGCACAGATTGCTGTGCACTGATGCCTGACAGGTTAAATGAAACACTGCTTGTGCCTGAAGCACGCATGCTCGTGAGATTAACCTGAATGAACCTAAAGTAGTGAAAAAAACCTACATGGAAGAATCGACTGTGCTCTGTTCTTTGCATCACATCGAAACCCAGTTTTTAACTCTGCTTATTAAAAACGTAATTAGTCTATAAACAGGTGGCTATAACAAAACCTTCAGGTCATACTTGTAATGTTTCGCATTCGTTCTGCTCGTTCCGCCTTTCTGATCTCTGCAGTGTTTCCCCTCCGTTTGCAGGCAGAATGAGGTGCTGTGGCGGGAGGTGGTGTCACTGAGACAGAACCACACGCAGCAACAGAAAGTCATGAACAAGGTCAGTCTATGGGTACTCATGATGCATTTATATGTTTATGTAAAACACAAATACAAAAGTAAGTAATGAAAGTTTTTGCCTTCACGTTTGACTCACGCTTCTGTATTTCACATGTATCTTCCACTCTAAAGGAATAAACACTGAACAAATACTTCAAAGCTATATTGCGGTGATGTTACCGTTTCTTTCTGTTATCGCTGAGCTTCCAGCATCTTTGTAACTGATGAAACCTGCCAGAGGTCGGCAGCAGGAGTATAATTTTCCTTCCAGACGTTATTCAAACCACACAGTGGATGTTTGTTCTCTGTGGGTTCGTCGCTGTGGTGGAAAGTAAATGAAGTTCTTTTCACAGCTAAGGTGATTTATGTATAAATTTGTGAGACGTTTGAATGCAGGACTGACGGCACTTGTATCACAGTGTTTTACAGTATTTCTTTTGAACTTTTTGTTTTAGAGTTGAAGGTAAATGTTCTGGCGTCATAAAGCATTGTTTCCTTTGCTTTGATAGAGTGCTGTTTTAACACCGTCAGCTAGCTTACTGGATTGTTACTTGAAGCATCAGCACTTTTGCTGCATGTCTGATTCACAAAAAGATGAATCAGTTTATAAAGTGAAAATGTTCAGACCATCAGACCTGAGAAACACAAAGGTTCATCGTCTGAACATGTGAGCGGGGAGGTTAGGGCTCGTGTCTCTCAGTTTCCTGTTCTGTTTATATCTGAAGGTAAAAAATGAGAGTTGGTGATGTTTTCCTGTGTGAGCTGCTGATTCACACATGCTCGTTCTGTCTTTGCCAGCTGATTCAGTTTCTGTTCAGCCAGATGCAGTCCAACACACCCAGCACTGTGGGCCTAAAGAGAAAGCTGTGAGTAGACACACACCTACACACACAGAGCTGTGCACAAACACACACGGGCGCACAGTAGAGCAATCAACAAAAGTGAGACAAACAGGGCCACAGTGGGGCAGAGGGAAGGGCTGGCTCAGCTGACAAACTGAATAATCGAACTCAACAAGCGATGTGAATGGAGACAAGTGCTGAATCAGTCAGTCAGACACAAACACACACACAGTGAAGGCAGAGCAGGGTGCGCGACCCTGCACGACAGGCTGTGTGTGTAAAATGCTGGTTCAGCTTTGTTACTGAGAGTGAACGAGGCCGACGTGAGAAAGCAACGGCACGCCGCAACACAAAAGTGCCAAAGAAATGTGTATTTCTGGGTCGGGAAGAGTTCAGATGTATGCTTTGCAGAAATGTGTCTTTTTTTTCATACACTTCCACAATCTGGGTTTTGTGTCCTAGTTCATCTACTCTCACTGCAAGTTTCCTTGCTCCAAAATTAACCTTTTAAAAAAGCTTCGAGCTCATTTCTGCATGGGTCTTAACATGTGCATGTAGCATGTAGCATGTACAGTCTAGCATGTTTGCCATCGTAGTTACAGTGTTAGCATGTAAACTGAAGCACAGATTCCTTGGACGGTCTGTATCACCACAGACAAGCATAAAGTTTGTTGGTTAATCCATTAAAAACATTCCACACGCACACCACAGAGGTCCAGTTTAATGATTTAAAACAGTGGAGGTGGGGTCTAGCACACCACTGGCTGCTGCCAGCTGAATTTGCCCTTCAGTGCTGAGATTATTATCCGTGGATATAAAGCACACACACAATCATGTGTTTGCTGCATGGACTTGTTGGTTAATAAATACAAAACCAAAGGAGCACATGAGCTCTTGAAAGACTGAATCTTGTGACTCGGCATTGTTAATTACATGAAGCCGTGTAACAAAGACGGATCGAAAAGAACTGTAGCATTCAGCAGGTTTCAGTGTAAACACCACAGACAAACAGACGTCTGCTCCAGTCACACCAATTAACCATTTGTTAATTAGTACATTGATGATCATTGTGCGTAGCTGATATTACTACTGTTTTATAACTTAGTGAAACAATAACGCTTCCTCCAGGCCTCTGATGCTGGACGATGGCTCTCCCAGCCCTCCTGCCTCCAAGTTCAGCCATAGTCACCAGATGGAAGCCATCCACGAGCCCTTCTACATCCAGTCGGTGAGAACGACACACCTCAAGTCTGGTTTTCAGTTTGTTGAAAGTACCGTGTGGACACATTTTACTGGGAACTATAATTAATAATCTGCTGTGCTGCTGCTGACCTTCCACATTCAGCACAAACAGCGCTGGTAGCAACATGCAGTCAAATCAGCTCTGAGGTAAACAGCTGGCCTTCCTAAGTGCTCGGCTATGTGCGATTCTAAAATGACCTTTAAAACCAACTGATCGAGTACATACACACTTCCCAATACTGATGAATCTAAATGTAGAACCATGACAGCTACTGTGTTAAATCATAGTTTATTATACAGATGAGGACAGAATCATTAGCACCTCTGATACTAATAATGAATCATATCATTTTTGCTGGATAATAGATTCTATTCTTTTGTTGTAGGTTTTGGCAACTCTCACATACATCGTCTGAAATATCACAGCCCATTCTTCTTTGGCTAATCTCTCAGGCTTCTCCATGTTTGATGGTCTCTTCTTGCATTTACCTCAGTCTGAAGAACTTCAGTGGGATTTAAATCAGTGCATTGTGCAAGCCATTCGATAACATTCACTTTGGCCTTCTGCAGGTAGTTCTTCACTGTGGAGTGCTTGAGGTTTTCTTTCAAAATCTTCTGTTATCTTTCCCGACTCCCCACAGCTGTGTGTCACTGTGGGAATGGTGTCCTTAGGGTTGTCTAAGGAGCTTGGGAAGAAAAGCATCTGGAGATGCTTGAAGATGTTTCACCTCTCATGGTGGAGAGTCCCAGATTTAAGCCCTGTGGGAGTGTTCCCCCAAGAGGGTCATGGACCCCCTATTGATCCTCTACCTAATCCCACGAGCCAAGGTGTGAAAACAGGTGTGGGTCGCAATCAGCCAGGGTTTCAGGTGAACCTGCTGTGAGACTTAGCCCCACCCTATCATGTGATTTCCTGAGGTCAGATGGCCCAGGATGTGAGTGGTGGTTAAGGCGTCTGGGAAGGATCTCAAAACTGGATTATAGATGGCAGACAGCTGGTGTCGTAAGCCCCGCCTCTGTTCAAAGATGGTGGTTCACAGTGGGCATAGATGCTTCTTTCACTCCTCTTTCAAACCATCTGTCCTCTCTGTCTAAGATGTGAACACTGGCGTCCTCAAAAGAGTGACCTTTGACCTTTAGATGCAGATGGACCACTGAGTCTTGTCCAGTCGAGGTGGCTCTTCAAACAGGAGAGGCCTCTTCAGATATAAGTAGTGTTTCTAGCCAAAGAGCTCTAGTTTTGTCTTATCTGACCAAAGTCTTCTGGCTTGAAGACGTCTCTTCTGAAGAAGTGGAGTTTTGTTCCTGTGCAGGCTTCTCGTGATTATCTTCTTTGAGACTTCAGTTCCCAAATCGGCCAAGTCATTCACCGGTGTCTCGGTCGTTCTTCTGCTATCTGTAAACACATCTCTCACTAGTTTCCTTCTTTGAAATCTTTTGCTTCCTACCTCTGACAGACTGGCTCTTTACTGTCTAGCTTTCTTTGATGAAACTTCTCACTCCAGTTCATGATACTTGGAATGATAACTTTGGATCCATCTCCTATTTTATGAACATCAACAATTATTTTTTTTCCATTTTAGACAAGCGTGTTTATAACTGATGCACTTTTTAACCTTTAATAGGAGGGGTTAATCATTTTGTCCTCATCTGTTTGAATACATATCCTTTAACACTCCAGCGCCATCAATCCAGCTGTTACAGTACGTCACCACTAGGTGGAAGCAATGTGCAGTGACAGATTTAGGGGGCCACCGATGTGCTTCACTGCAGTCCGAGGTCAAACACATGAGTCTGTAAAGGACTGTTACATACAGGCTCTGCTGCAAAGGAAACAATCACAGAAGTGTTGAAGTTGAAAAAAGGTCTAAACGAGTCCAACGAAATTCTGACTTCAACTGTTTTCAGGAACCAAAAGCATTTATGTGGGCTCACAACCAGATATGTTTGAACAGATTCTAGGTTGTGTGTTGTTTTGTTTCTTTAACTAAATACAAGCATCCTGAAAATCTTCAACTTCATTGGTGCTAAATTTATTAGAGCAAACATGCATCACAGCCCTCTCCTCTTTGCCCTCAGCCATCCAGTGATACTGCTTCCTGCTCTGCTAGCGGACTTGCAGGAGGACCGATTATATCCGATGTTACTGATATGTCTCAGGCAAGCATGGCTCTGCAGATGCAGCCTGATGAGACTAGGTAGGAGATCCATGTGTGACTTTCTTGGCTCACTATTAAAAGCTACTTTTAACACACAACGTGTGACTCTGCTTGTAGGGAGAAGTGCATGATGCTGATCAAAGAGGAGCCTGTGAGTCCAGGGGTACGAGGGGGAGGAAAAGGAAGCAGTGTACCGGGAGGAGAGGCTGTAGCGTTGACCTCCCCGTGTGAGGTGTGCTCCTCTGAACCACCTGTCCTTCCTGTTGCAATGGTCCAATCTGTTCTGGAGGGGAGGGGCTCTGTAGGCTCCATGCTGGAAAGGAGGAGCAAGAGACCTGCTCTGGAGAGGTAGGTGCTCACAGGTGGACGAAGTCATGGAAAATGTAATGCAACAGAAAAGTACTGTGAGGTGTATGAATTGTATAACACATCCTCCATGTGTGTGTGCAGAGCTGAGGTTGCAGACACAGTGGAGAATGTGGACATGAGTCTGGAGGAGCTGCAGCATCTGCTTCTTAGGAGCCATCAGCAAAACGCTGTGGAAGCTGGGACCAGTGCTGTCATGGATGTCAGTAGATATTTGCGACATCAGGCTGACCGATGTCAGTTTGATGATTATTAGGGATGGGTATCGTTTAGGTTTTATCTGATACCAGTACCAAACCGGTACTTTTGAAACGGTGCCGGTGCTTAAAGAATCAAGAACAAATCAAGAACACCAACTTTGTCCAAAAACCTCTCATGTTCAGCTGTTTTTTGTAAAAAGATAACAATGTTAGCCTTTTCTGCAGCTATGGGGCATATATGGTATCACTCTTGGCTGGAAGCAGTGCTTAAACAATGGAAAAAACACAAACTTTGTCCAAAAACCTCTCATGTTCAGCTGTTTTCCACTTTTTCTTTGGTCATTTTAGCCTTTTTGGCCAGGGTGAAGGGAGTATCTGCCATCAAACAAGAAGACAGCTGCATGTAGCTATGATGGTGTTTGCTAGTTCACCTTACATGCATTAATGTAATAACGTGGTTAGCCTACTCAACGTAAATTACACACGAACAACATTAAGCTCCTCACGCAGAGAAGAACGGCTGCTGCTGCATCATCATCCTCATCATTTCTGCTACACTGGCAGGGCTAGGGGCCAGGACTCTCCTCTTCGGGTTCTTGGGGGATGTTGCTAACTCTGGGTCTGGCACCACACCCGCAGTAGATGTGCTCGGTGTGAGGTCTCGCAGCAAGCTATCAAATACGGCGCATTTCTCGGCTTTAAAAAAACGCTATGCGTCGCCAGGTGTTTCATCAGATTTGAGGTGTTACCTCCTTTGACAGTATCACAGTATCAGCTTAAAGCACTTGTTGCTGCTGAGTTTGCATCTTTTGCTGTGAAGTACAGCCATACTTTGACTGCTTCACCTTGGGCGTTTTTAAAAGAACCTACGTACCCAGGCCCGCCTACTACACTCGCAAAGGTAAAATGATTGGCTAGAAAGTGTGTGACATCTCAGTAAAAAAAAAAAAGCAGAAATGAAGCACCGAAATGTGCGCTGCTTTTCGGTCTGGTTACTACCGTTTATGTCAGAACTGGTGCCATGATACCGGTACCCATCCCTAATGATTATATGGTAAATGGCCTGCATTTGTAGACAGCAGCCAGCGGAGTGTATTATTGTATTCATATCATTATGCTGCTTCCCCCCTGTTTCTTCTAGCCTTTCAGTCTAAGTCTGCCTCTGACTGAGTGGAACTTCACAGAGATGGAGTCCAACCTCAAACCAGTAAGTTTAGTCATGTGACTCTCAAAGCTTTAGTCACTGGGAGGTAAACCAGCTCAATAATATTGAAAAGACCCAACAATCCCCTACGAGCAAGCACGTGGCGATGATGGAGAGACTTTCATCTTCTATTTTATTTCCAGTTTCAGTAACATTAAATTCAATGTTCATCTGATTCTTACACATTTTTCCGCACAGCAACACAAGTCCTTCAGTTTCACTACGATGATGTGCATCAGTGTGAAAACACTGATCAGATACAAAGTGAATGCTGTAACAGGATCAGTCACATCAGTGCAGTGTGAAAAAGCCCCAGCAGGTGGAGCTTTACTACAGCAGCTCCATACTGCTCTGTGACAGAGACACTTAAGGAAGCAGAATGTGACTCTGACACAAACTCCAGATGTTTTTATACCGTTCACCTTGTGGGAAGCTCTCACTACCAGCAGCTGCAGGAGGACAAAATATTCTTCTTACAGCCTCATATTCACTGGAGTTTAGTGATGTTTTGTATGAGACCTCTCCACCTTTGAGGATCTTTGAGAGTCTTCTGCAGATCTCCTCCTGATTGGTTGATCCCATGGGCTGGCCTATTGATGTGTCACCTGCTGATTGGTTCCTGTGAACATTTTAAAAACACTGGTTCCTGCTCAGCCTCCAGTCAGTGATGATGAACTGATTCTGACACCGGAGCTCCCCAGTCTCTTATTTTGTAAAGCATCTCAGCCTTTCCTGTGGTGCCAGCACTCTTGTGTGGGGGTAAAAATGAGTGTGTTCAGACCCTGTAACACAAAGTTTCTCTCCTCTCAAGCCTTGGGGTTCTCATCAATCAGTCACCATGATACTTTGGAATGATCTACAGCAGCAGGGGAAACCTGCTCGTGAGTCTGCTGGAGTTGAAACTTCTTTTGAAGTAAATAAACATAATTTGTCCATGCACTGCAGACCAACCCAACTCTGGCTAAATGTCTGCTGCCAGCTCAAGCAGTGAAGGTTTTGGGAACACTTTGGAAGGCTGTGCCTTTTCTGGCTTTCTCCTCGGTCACTATTGTTGGAGTTTCTTCAGTCAGATTTTCCCCCACTTTCATGCCTCAGAGGTGCAGCCCTCTTTCTCGATACATCGTCACCAACATCTGGCTTTTTAAAAACCCACTTTGAGAGATCTGCATTTTTAAAAATTGCCTTGAAGAATAGTCACATGGTAACCTAGTGCCATGAAATGTTGATCTGAAGTCAAAGGAGCTTGCAAAGAAAAGCGTCTGGACTTCTTTAAGTTGCTTGAAGACGTTTCACCTCTCATCCGAGAAGCTTCTTCAGTTCTAAGGTCAAATGGTGGAGAGTCCCAGATATAAACCTAGTGGGAGTTTCCCCCCACAGAGGGACAAAAGGACCCCTGATGATCCTCTAATCGCCTGAGCCAAGGTGTGAAGCTGGGTGTGGGTCCCAATCAGCCAGAGTTTCAGGTGAGCTCATTGTGAAACCTGACCCCACCTTATCATGCGAATTCCTGAGGTCAGATGGCCCAGGATGTGAGTGGGCATTAAGGCGTCTGGGAAGGATCTCAAAACTGGATTATAGATGGCAGAGAGTTGGTGTCGTAAACCCCGCCTCTGTTCAAAGATGGTCGCTCACAGTGGACATAGATGCTTCTTTCACTCCTCTTTCAAACCATCTCTGTCCAAAATGTGAACATCGGCCAGAAGAAGCTTCTCGGATGAGAGGTGAAACGTCTTCAAGCAACTCAAAGAAGTCCAGACGCTTTTCTTTGCAAGCTCCTTGACTACGATGACCTGGATGACTGAGAACCTTCACAGACATGTTGATCCGAAGTGTTTTTTCAGATCAACCACTGCTAACTGCCTTTTCCTAATTGTTGACCCTGAATGTTCCTGCTATCCTACAAAAACACAAAACCCCAGCACTGCACTCTGTTAAACTGTCTTATAATTACAGTGTTTTCTGATCCTGTGTCACCACGTTGTTATATCTGCCATCCTATATTTCACATGTACAACACGGGTGGCTTCAGATACCCCCCCACAGCCCACTCATGTTGACTGAAGACACAAAGACCAGCTGTGGAGCCCTGCTAGTTCTGTTTAATACAACTGTTACTTTAACTTGTGGTCTGAGTCTTAATTCATTGTTCATCCTGCTTCTGTTCCTCTTCAATTTAGATGAGAACACTTGATTGTTGACATTTTCTCTGTGTGATTGTAGAGTCTTTACCTTACAGTATAAAGTGCATCGAGGTGGTTGTTGTAAATAAAATTGAGCTGAGATTATTCAGTAATTATAAATACATAAAATTCAGAGTTTTGTATGAAGAACACATAAAGTGTGATTTGGTGTATTTTGGATGTTTTAAAGCCACTAAAATTACAACCTTTTATTAAATGTTCAAAGCTCCCTTTAGTGCCATGTTTGTTCATAATCTTTTCTGTTCCCAGCATTTACAGCCTTGGTGTTTATTAGCATGGATGACTGAATGATTTATTAGCTCATACTGAGTTTTGTACAGTGCAGTCCTCACATATTTGTTGTGTAAACAAATTGTTTGATATAATATGAAACGTTTCTGTTGGGATTTATTTTAACGTGTGCATGTTTATTTTCACAGTACATGTTCCAGAACCAGGAAGTCGAGGCTTTTCCAGCCGCTGGCTGTGAAGAACAGTGAATTTGTGCCGTGAATAGTCCTTTCTGAGGCGAAAGGTAACAGTCTCTTGTTTAAGACTAATGTCAATGCAGCTTCATATCGTCAGAGGATCATCAGACTAATCGAACTATCAAACAAATCCATTTCTTTGTGCACAAATGCAGGACTGTTTTTTACAGTGTTGTCACGTCACGAAGAAATGATTCAATCAGCGTATTTCTCACATCAGCCACAAACCACACGCGTGCTGCATCTGACCGAATCGTATTCGTTTAGCTGCTGGAAAGTGTTTTGGTAACTTTTTGTGACTTAAATAGACTTTTTGCCCGTACACAATGAGACACAGCTTCTCATTGTTCGTTCATAGATCCCCCTGGTATTACACTGAAAATAAACATTGTAATGTATTAACAGATATAAAAATCGTGACACAGCTCCTCGCTGCTCGCACACAGCAGACCTGCTCTCTGATTCCTGTTCAGGTTTGCCATCGTGTGGTCAGAATCAGACTTCATAGGTTCAGAAGTCTTTGGATGACGAGAACATTTTAGCTTCTGTGTATCGAGCTCGTAGATCGTTAGTTAAGCAACCTGGGACTGAGGGGGCGGCTGAAT